TGTTTCGTTGCATACTTGGCATTACAATCTTTTCAAAGCTTTTGGGGATAAATGGGATGAATTTGTGAGATTGGATGTTTGTGCAATGGCTTGGAGCAAATTTAATTTTAGGTGCATACTTTTTAAAGTTAGAAAAGTGAGTTGCATTCTTGCTTTCACAACATTAATTGTAGGTGATAGCCCAAATAAAATCCGTACTTCGATATTGGAAGTGTTAAAAGTACCAGATTCAAGTAATAATTGGCAGTAGGAGTAGGATGATACAAGGAAGGGAACATTTGGCTCTAATGATAAGTCATGTTTGGCAAGTGAGTGCTAGATCCCAACTACAATTCAAAATTCAAATTTGAATTCAAAATCAAGAGTTGGAAAAAGAGGCCAAAGTCTTATGGGGACACATGCAGTCTAAAGGGATTTGGCATAAATCTGATAATGGTGGCAATTATAACGATATCTTGGTAGAAAATGTTTTTGCACGATTATCCATAGATTTTAAAGAGTAAGGAGGTTCAAAATTCAAACCTAATTGAAGAGTACAATGATATTTAAATTTTAAATATGTTTATTTTGTAGATCAAGGGAATAAAATAGAGAATGATTGTCAGAATTTAGAAAAGATTGTTCAGATTTAAACACATTTATTGAAAGGTGGTATTGAAAACAATATCATTAGGAAATACTCTTCAGATAGTGTGAATAAGGAAGAGATTGTTGGAATAAACTCTTGTGAAAAGAGGGTGATAAATGTTGGGAATAAGAGTCCGAATTCAAATAATGAGGAATGTTTGGAAAATAATGCTACTAGTATGTACTGAAGAGAGAGAATTTAATTATGTGGAGTGTTCTTATTTGGATAAAAGTCTTTTAAATTTGAGTTCTTTAAATTTATAATTTCCAAGTAAGTATGAACAGTTAGAAGTACTAAAGCCTCTTTACAAGGGTTCTACATCAAATACCACATGGTTATTTGGTTTAGAAGAAGTGGATATGATAACACAAAAATAGTATCAGGCTAAGAATGATGCTAGTGAAGAAATTGTGGACATGTTTGCAATTGAAAAACAAAGATGGGACCAAATTATAAACGATATATTGGAAGTTATGATTCATGTCAAAGGTAACATTTATGAAAGCGATGCTGAGTTAAGAGGTAAAGTGGAGAGGAAAGTATAATCAAATGACCTAGAAGTAAGAAAGGTCGCAACAAACACAAATTGTCAAATAGTAAAGGAGATAGGATTTGACAAAGCAATATTGTTTTATTTTTCTACTCATACAAGTGTACATATCGAACAAATAATATAATGGCAAGTAGAATGTCAATCCCACAACGAATTGATCTAAAATTTCCTAAGTACTAAAATTATCTCAATATAGTCTAGTCAAAACAAACAAAATTACGTAACTAAATAAATTATAAATTAACCTAATCTACTTAACAAGAATTTAAACTAAAAAGTCAAAGTAATAATGAAATTGGATAAAAATCAACTCAAAAAAGCTTAGGATTATAATATCTCTCACACTTCATCTAAATCTTACCTCTTTCTCTTAACTTATTCCAATGAGTTAACATGCTAACCTAAAATCTTCAATTATTTATAAAGCTCTTTAAAAACTCTTATAAAAATATCTATTTTAATCAAAATATTATATTTCTATGTGTATTGAAATTAAAATAGGCTCATTAAGTTCAAGCTCTGATACTAACAAAATACAACGTATAGGTATTTCTCTCTTATACACAAATCAATTTATTCATCCAAACAAATAAATATGATCATGTGTTATTCTAATTTTAACCTATTCTAAACTCTCTTTCTCAAGTTATGTTTAAGTTTCCAAATCAATTTAATTGGTGATCAAGCAATTAAAAGTATTAAGAACAAATTGGAATAAATAATTCAATTCCATTGAAAGTAAACAAGAAAGAGAATAAAGATTTAAACTGTATGAGAGTTCAATTGCAATTTTAAAAGAAAGAAATAGGCCATACATCATTTCAATAATAAATTAAAACATATGAAATTTAGCTATCAAGAGTTATAAGAATAATAAAAGCTCAAGAAGAAGAAAAAAACGAATATTAGCAGCCTTAATCTTCAATCTTCAACCTCAACTTCTAACTTATTGAATCTCTCTTAGGGTAAACTTCTACAACTAACTTCTTGCCAAACTCTCTTTAAATACTACTAACTTAATCTAATCTTCTTAATTTAACTTACTTGGCTTTTAATATAGACTTAGAATAATTGTAGAACCCATAAAACCTTAATAAGCTTGCAGCCTTTTCTTTTCCACACTAATTCTTCAAATTTTTCCTCTCAATGCCACAACACATCCCCTCGATGCTGTGGCGTTAGCTTAGCTTTAGGTTTTCTCTTGCTGACTACTACATTCTATCAACTTCTGATGTGATTTTCTCCATCTTCAAGGTAGAACTGGGCAAAGTTATCTTTATGAAAGTTGTAGCTCTGTCCTATAGCTTTCCAATGGTCTAAGAATCATGTCATTTAGGTATCTAAAGTAGAAGCTATACTCGAAATACTACAACATATATGATCAAAGTCTTAATCCTTTAATCACTTTTCTTCACCAATTTGATGCCTTATTCCTTACAATCCTACAAAAGTATAAAAACTAATAAATAATAGTTAAAATAAAGTAAATAAACATAAAAAATAGCATAAAATAAAATAACATAATAAAGTAAACTAATTAGAAAAATAACTAAATCCTAATCTAAACTCAAGAACTTAGTTAGCTTTTAAGAACAAAATAAGACAAAATAATTCTATAAAATAGAATTATCAAGCAATAAATGGGCGAAGGAAGTTATTGTGGAATCTGTACAAGACTCGAATCAATATCTTACTTCTGACATTAATCTGATGGAGGTTGAAATAACATGGGAAGTTGGTAATGTGGTTAGTTTGGCATTTGAGAATACCAGAGAAGATTTTATTCAAATGGTGGTTGCAATGAAAAGGAAAGAGAGAGGTGATCCAGATCTTTAAATAGGTTTGGTTTTTGATGTGTGGAGATGATAAGCTAATGAAGAAATTGATCTATTGGCAAAAGCTAATATTCAAAGGAGAGACTTAATTTTTTAAACATTTACTTAAAGAGATATGAATAAGGTGGAGATAGTAAGTGATAAGAGTTTGAAGTGGTTTGGGAGTTTTTAAATGGGGATGAAATTTGATTTGAAATAGGAGTGTAGGTGAAGGTGTATGAGGTTGGACAGTAGGTTGAGTAGTTCATTTAAATTAAAAAATAGAGTTTTATATTGTTGGGTTGAGTTGAAGTATGAGTCATATTTTTGTGCTGAGTTTTGTAGATAAATCCAAATCAATTTTAAATTGTTGAGTTTGTGTTGGAGTACGAAGTTGCCTATTACATTTAAATAAATATTGACTCAGGTGGGAGTTTTGTGGAGATTAGGTTGATATGCGGATAGAGATGGTAGGATGATAGAATATTTTTCTTGATTTATTTGAACAAGGTTGTATGTGGATGCCAATAATTGGTATGCAGGATGCGAATAGTGGTTTGTTTCTTGGATAGCAACTAAGAGCAATTTAAAGCACTTAAGCATTTGACTAATTGGTTAGTGCATTATCCCTTTACCTAAAGAGTAGGGTTTGAATCTCTCCTCCTCTAATTATAATAAGAAAAAAAACTAAGAGCAATTTAAAGGGATTTGGACATATGTGTAATGGAGGTGGGGTAATGTTTTGAGTTGACTTGAAAGCCTACCATTGAGATTAGCTTAGAAGAATTTAATTGAGGATTGAATATGTCTAAACAACTAATGAGTTAAGAGTTTTTATTGAGTATGTGCCTGAAATTTTCCTTGTCTAGTTAGGTGGGCTTAACGAGATGTTTGGTCCATGGATTAATTTGTACCCAACATCCCCAAATTGGATCCATATGTTTTGGGGTTTTAATTTTTATGCTTTATTTTCATATTGTACTTGTAAAAATCCATAATTTATTTTGACTATGGCAACTAGCAATAACATTACGTATCTTAAAAAAAAAAAAAAGCTTAATGATCATAGGCATCATGTCTCAAAATCATAGACATATATAACACAACCTTTCGAGATATTCAATCACCATATCTCCATTACGTATCTTGCATTGAAAAAAATCACATTATGAGATTTAATTACTAATATAACTTTATTTCGAGTATATATAAAATACATAAATATCTAAGAAGGGTACATATTATCATTAAATTAAAAATTTATATATTTGTGTCACATACATTCTGAAAACACCTCACCAAGCTGGTCGAAATAACTAATTAAAACATATATTAAAAATCAGAAAAATAGCACAAACGGGTAGTGAACAATGAGTAAAAGAGAACTATCTAAAGGGAACTCAACTCGAGTGGGTGACACGTGCTTCCCCTATGCATTGGGCCTTGTTCGGCCGCTTATACTGTTCTTCCTCAACCTACAGCTAAGTGGAACCTCACTCGATTGGTCAAAACTAAACCCATTAAGGTCTGATTCTTGCATTCTCCCTAATTTCTCAATTTTTGATAATTTTTTTAAGAAATTAAACCCTTTAAAAACCTCGATTAAAACATTGATCTATGAAATCCATGCATTAAAATTTCATGAAAACAACATAAATCGATATCCATGATCTAAAACTTCGAGTTTCAAAACCTATATTTAATCCAATTTTAATTTTCTTAGTATTTGACCACATAAATTAGACTCTGACAATCGTAGACAAGACACAAGAAAATATAAAGTTAGAGTTTTAAGTTTATTCTTATAGTGTTTCCTGTTATAATTGTGTCACACATTTGAGATACAAGAATTTAGTGTCTTGAATGTTGTCAAACGCAACATATTTAAATGCTTAACAATTCTCTTCTTTCCTTTCATTCTGAAAATTCCAAAGTGGTAGCAGGCTGCATCATCCTTAAAAATTCATCAAAATACACATTATATTCTCACAGCAAAATACGACAGTTGCTACCAATATTGTTTTGTGGAGCATCTATATTTATTACTTTACCCAAGTCTCAAAATACTCGTTGCCTATGGATTGACTAATACTCATCCTCGTCATCTCTTGACCCAAGGAATCTCCTCACAACAGCTGCAACAGCACCAAGAAACAAAAAGAAGACAATAGTTTCAAATCCACCTCCAACACCAATTGCAACACTGGGACCTGGAGCAAAGAAGGAAAATGGCGACCAACCCCAGCCACCGTAGAATGGCACACCAAAACCATATCCATACCCACCGACTAGAGGTGGGGCGACTGGTGGATTGATATAAATATTGGTCCTGGACAAACATTAGCTTAAGCATTAGCAAAACAGATTTGTCCACTGAAAATATGAATGAAGTCAAAGACCAAAATTTGATGACGAAGCTAAAGACAATAAAAATAATCAGTTCACATTTCATCTAGAGCAAAATGATTATGGGATCAAAGTAACAAAACATTCAAACTATTCTGAATATTTCCAACCAGTCCTCTTTTCTCTGACAAAATGGTTTAATGGTTCTTAATTTTAAGCACAAATTATGAAGGTAATTAATATGACAATAGTTTCACAACACCATGACTTTCAATCAGAAACTATGGCGTCAGGTTCAGCAATGAATTTAATCTACTTCTTTTACTAGCCATCCAAAATAGTTTATAACATTACAAGAGTCTGATTTAATGTAATTGACCAAAAGGCAGGAGAGAAGAAACTAGCACAGTCAAGCAAATCAGAATATTTAAATGCTTCAAACTATTTCAATTCTAAAGCTTTGATTTTATTTCAAACACACAGATTCAATCTTGTGTGGTACCAGACCTGATCTTGTTTTATCTATAATTATTGGTATTTGAAAATCGATGAAATCAATATCTGCAAACTATGAAGTCCATAGCTGATGAGGTTGTACTCCTTTAAAATCCTGTAGACGATGATTATTGAGCTGTATATTCTCAAAGGTATTGGGCCAGACTTCAAGGAAATTATTACAGCAACCAAAGCTAGAGAACGCCATTGCAAACTCATTGATCGAACTTCTCTCAAGCATGAAGAAGGCACCGATGTTTCTCTCATTCCTACAGTTAATTTGACTGGAGTCTAGCAGCAACTTGCCACCCAAGGGCAGTCATTCATCCAACAACGATGGCGCAAATTTTGCACTAATAACTTCCAGTAGCACAAAAAATTTTTTTAGAACTTCTGCCTCTCTGCCTTTCTGTGAACTCTCTAGTACATATTCTGATGATGGAAGGGAACGGAAAATTAGTCAAATTTTTTATAGATCATGGTCTTTCGCATCTTCAAACACTTCCACACACCACAACATAACAGCATTGCTGAAAGATGGCACAGACACATTGTTGAAATTGAATTGACTCTCTTACATTAAGCATCACTTCCATTATCTTTCTGGTCTATTCATTTCAAACTGCATTCAACCATCTTCAGCTTTGAATAAGAAAACATCTTTTGCGGTCTTATTACACCAAATTATTGTTAGCTCAATGTGTTTCAGTGTTTGTGTTATCCTTGGCTTAATTTACAATCATCATAAGCTTCAACCAAAACCCAATCCATGTGTTTTTCTTGAATGGTCCATTCATAGAGTGCATATAAGTGTTTTGACCCAACTGCCTAGAAATATTCATTTCAAGACATGCGGTGGTCTTCTTCTCTTTATTTATCACAGCCTAGAATTAATGCTTATTGTGCCTCTCAACAGATTAGAACTTATACTTTTGTTGCAGCATCTGCTCCTCCTATTATTGCTTCAGTTCCTCTCACAAATTTCTCATCTGACAATCACTCTTCAAGTGCAATAGCCATTTCTCTCTTCCATTCAGGTCTGCAGTAGTGACATCCTCAGGTTTGAATTCTTTAGCAAGTTGCCCACTTCAACCTGATGACTCAATGCCTACTGTTTTCCTCAGCTGAACCTGTTTCAAATTCCAACCCCAACCCTCTCTCAATTCTGCATCCAAACTCTCTCAGCCCCGTTGGACTCATCTAATGGCCATTTTCTCACAAAGTAATACTTTCAGACCAAAGAATTTACACTACTGTCAAGCATCCTATTCCTGTTTCTCTTGAACCTACAATATACTTCAACCTATAAAAGATCTATAACATAAGGCTGCCATCACTGCACTGAATTTAATGGCTTCATAAACACTTGCACTTCCAGCTTGTTCTGCCATCTATAGCTCAAAATTTTATCAGAAGTGAGTGTGTTTTCTGCATTAAGAGAACACTTGATGGTTATAATAAAAGTTACAAAAGGCATGCTTTGTTGCTAAGGGGTTCATCCCCTGGTTTACATGTTAAAGAAACATTAATTGTGTCCAACAATCAAGCCTAAAACTATTAGAGTGGTCATTTGTCTAGCTTTCTACTGTGGTTGGCATATGCTTTTTGAGATGGATATGGTGACAACGAAGTTTATCTGTCTCAACTGCCTAGATTTCTTGATTCTGACAAACCTTATTTTCTTCACATACTTAAATGGCAATCTATTGCTTTAAATAGGCTCCCTCATGCTAAATTGCTAAAATGAATCAGTTTTTTCTTTCTCCAGTTTGACAAATTTTATTTTGGGTGCTCAACTTAATTTCTCATCAGCTATTGTTTGTTTTCATGTCTACTTTGATGATCTGCTTGTAATCAGCAATGGGACAAACTTTATCAGTTCTTTTCTCAGGCAACTTGCAGCTCTTAGTTATTTTCCTTGTCTAAAGTTTATCTCCTCTTCTACTGGTATGTTTCTCCAACAATATAAGAACATAAGAGACATCCTCCATCAGTAACAAATGGCAATTAACAGGTTGCTAATCCCTTAGCACTTCCTCTCAGTGTACCATTCACAATGGTTCTATGTCTGGTGATGCCAACACTTATCACAGATTAGTTGGAATCCTTCAATACTTGTCGATGAATGACGCCTGATTTCGCATTTTCAGTCAACGAGTGTCTCACTTTATGCATGTTCACATGTACAGATGAATCCAGTGATAACTCAAGGTCATTAACTCATTCCCATCTAGCATTCAAGAAGCAGTCTGCTCTTACTCCCGCAGCTTTCTGTGTGTCTAAATATAACTGGGTGAACAGTTTAGATGATTGTAATTTGTAAATCAACAAAAGCTAACATAGTGTATTTGGGAGGAATGCTAATCTTGGGATGTCATCTTTGCTAAGTCATCTACCGAGGCCAAGTGGAGAGCTATAGCCTTCGCTGCAGCTGAGCTTATATGGGAGAAAATCCTGCTTGCTGACCTACACATACTTTCTCTAGCCACCACGTTTATATAATGGCAAAGTTGGAGCAACCTCTCTCATTGCTCATCCTGTTTTTCAATCTAGAATGAAGAATATGTTCTGGGTCCTGACTTCGTTCAAGAAACCAGTTAATTTTGGTCTAATCAAGGTGTCACGGAATGAATTAGACTTATGATCAAATAACAAAATCTTGCAATGAGGACGACAAATGCCATTCCATCAATTACTGAATTTGAAGTGGCTCAGCATATTACTTAAGATTCCCCTCAACTTTCTTTCAATATTGAGCATCATTTCAATCTGACCCAGTACATAGCAATGCCAATTTAAAAGAAAGCAAAAATTATACAGTAAATTCAAGAGTGCTCCCATCTAGACTTGTAGAATTTTTCCTTCCTCGTCAGCATCAGAAGGTAGTGACAGTACTCCTAGCATTTCATATAGTTCAATATGTCCTAGAGAACTATTGACTATTAGAAATACAAATTGTGACTAAAAGATAAAAGTTTTCTGTACTTAAATAGAAAGCCAGTCTCTAGCCTGCTTATGCAAATCTCTCTTTCTAAAAAACAAACAAGGCTACCATTTATCTCAACTTGCAGCTAAGAGCTTTGCATAAGCCCTCAATCTCTCTGAAATTAGTATACTGTGTATATTAGAAGCACAAATTAGCCTTTTTCAACTGCTTTTCTATAGTACCCACCTACACTGCGTATATATTCAGAGCTTAATTCTTTCAAAACTCAAACAACAACACATTAAAATTTAAGAAATCCAAGTACCCAAGTAACATTATGTGCTCAATATTCGTCAATAATGTCAAAAAAAAATTCTTATTTGTCAAACAACTGAATCTATCTAATTAATATCCAAAGCGGATGCTAAAACCAGTGGCCTAAACAAAATTAACACCAACAAAACTTAACTGATGAATTACCTCGAATTGCTGTTGGCTCTTGGCGCTGAGCGAGGAGCTGATGAGCGAAACGCTTGACCACCAACTCTACCACCCGTCTTGGCAGCTGATGCATCACCAACTGAGCCCAGAGTCAACACTCCAGCTGCCAGTGCCACTATTGCTAGCTTTGCTAACTGCTTCTCATTTCTCCTGTAGAAAATTCAGCACCAAAACACAATCCTCGGTCATGGAACATAGTTGCATTGCAAGAAGCAAAGAGAAGTGAAATGGCATGGAAATTAAGTACCGGGCAGAATCTTTGTGGTCATCTGACTGGTATCTGCATGTGATGAAAGTAGCTGAGCTGAGAAGCTTGGTTTTGGGTTTGTGAGTAAATGTAAAAGCGTTGGTTAGGAAACTTTGTTGAGATGATGCAATGGACATATTTCCTTGCTTACAAGAAAACTTGGGTTCAGGATTCTGGGAAATCATCTGTTTTTGTCAGTTTGAACTGTATATATAGTGTAGGCCTGTGTTCCTAAGATTTTTCTTCATCTTGATTCATGATACGGGGATTGCCACGTGGTCAAATTGTAATGGCTGTATCCAAGTCTCAAGCATGAGATGTACATATCTCCGAGGATATGCTCCGACCACTTTTTCTATCTGATGCCTACGTGTCCAAGTTCAACAATTTCGCATCTCCATTTCATTCTCAAAATACAGTATTTTCTTCTTTTTTCTCTGTTTTTTAAAACTTCATACTCATTTTTCAGCATATATATATATATTATAACGATCCAAATCTAAATACTGATCCATTAATTTTTCAAATCTAAATCACATGATTTGTAAAAATTTAAATTCAAGTTGCTAGTTATAATAGATTTGAATTGTTATATATATCTTAACAATTTCATTCGTATTAGATGTAGTGCATCACAATTTCACCCATTTAAATTTTTAACATTTTTATTAATACTACAAATCATTCATAAGATCAAAATTTCAACAGAGCAATGTGGAAGTCAACACCGAACTGACGTGAACTCTAATACCATTTATAATGACCCAAAATGTTACTAGTTGATGACCCAAAATTGAGTTGTCAAAACTATTCAGATTTTTAGTCAACTTCAAAAATTCATATCTTCCTATTCATAAAGTCAAACAAAATGCTACAAAAATTATTGAAAAGATCTTTTCAAGACCTTTCTATTGCTACCTATCATATCACCGAAAAAATCACCAGAACAGTACTAGGTTTGAAAAAAAGTTAAGGAAATATAAAATAATTTAGGATTTTTGTGCCTAAACTAAAAGCATACAACCCTGATCATGCATTAATAAAAAATTCCTTGAATACTTTTCTCTTTTCTCTATCTTTCTTCTTCTCCTCCTTCTTTTGATTGTCTTTCTCTTAAGCCTAATGATAAAAGACTGAATTAACTTTTGCTGATTTTTTTTCAACTAATTGCTTTTCTTTAAACGTATTGAGATAAAACTGATTATTTTTCTTTTTAAAATATGATAAGATTAGCTGGCTGCTTTTCTTTTGAATGTGCTAAAGATAAAACTAACTAATTTTCTTTTTAAAATATGATAAGGTAAAATTGACTAATTCTCTTTTAAACATGATAATGCAATCTGACACCAAATAAAATATATCTACTTTATTTTCTAAAAGGTCTTTTCTTTTTTTTCTATTAATAACCTCACGGCCATATCTACAATTATCAAATAAAACGATATTCTTTTTTTGTGAGGACTATTACTTCAGCCCTTCCTTAAAAGGAGTTTAGTCCTTTAAACTCTTACCTTAGTTATAAAAAAGGTAAGGATACTTCACTTTGATACTTTCTTCCAAATCCCAAGTCGTTTCTCATTCTGTGTGATTACTCCACTACACTTTAACATAAGGAATAGTCCACAATACGTATAGGATGCTCATCATAAGACAAATCCTCTTTAAGTCTTAAAGAGCTAACTTAACCACAAGACTAGGATTTGAAATATATTTCCTTATCAAGGAGACATGAAACACGCTATGCACACCTGATAGAGCAAGTGGAAGCACCAATCTATAAGCCACATCACTAACCTATCCAAAATCTCAAACGGACTCACATAAAAAGGACTAAGTTTTCCTCGAATCCCGAATCGCATTACTCATCTAGTAGAGGAAACTTATAGGAATACATGATCTCTAACTTCAAATTCTAACTTCTTTATTCTATTGTTTGCATAGCTTTTCTATCTATTTTGAGATGTACGAAGATGTTCTTTAATTAATTGAACCTTCTCAACTATCTACTGAATAAGATTTAGACCTAATAGTTGTCTTTCACCCACATCATCCCAAAAAAGAGGAGACTTGCACTTCTCACCATACAAAGCTTCAAATGAGGCCATTTGGATACTAGATTGATAGCTATTATTATAAGCAAATTTCGCCCATGACAAGTGTCAATCCCAAAAACCTCCAAAATCCATGACACAAGCTCTTAGCATGTCTTTAAGAATTTAATTAGTTCTCTTAGACTGACCATCTGTTTAGGGATGAAAAGCAGTACTAAAACTAAGTTTGGTACCCAAAGCTTCATGCAGACTCTCTCAAAATTTTTTCACAAATCAAGAATCTTGATTAGATATAATGGATACTAACACCTAATGCAATCTCACAATTGCTCCACATATAACTCTGCTAACTTTTCTAATGGCAATCCTATACGAATAACCAAGAGGTGAGCAAACTTTGTTAATCTAGCAACAATCACCCAGATGCCATTATTACCTTTTGGGGTTCTCAGTAAACCAGATATAAAGTCCATAGTAATTCGTTTTCATTTCCATTCTAGAATTGGGAAGGGTTGTTACAACCCTACTGGCCTCTGATGTTCAGCCTTGACTTGCTGACATGTCAAATATTTGGTTACAAACTGTGTAATCTTTCTCTTCATATTGTCGCACCAAAAATTATTCTTCAAATCTCTATATATCTTAGTACCAGTGGATGGTATAATTACTATAATGACCTTCTTTCAAAATCTCTCTTTTCAATTTTACATCATCAGGAACACAAATTCGATCAACAAACTATCAGTTAAAATTTCACTATTACAAGTATACGTATCGAATAGATAGTATATTAGTAAGCAGAGTGTCAATCCCACAGAGAATTGATCTAAAATTTTACTAAGTACTAAAATTAGAACAAATTAATCTTATCCAAACACTCAAAATTAATTGATTAACTAAAACTAATTAACTAAAATTTAAACTAATAGGAAAAATCAAAATAATAATAACTTGAGTAAATATCAAATCAAACAAGCCTAGGATTACAATATCTCTCACACTTCATCTAAATCTTACCTCTCTTCCTTAACTTATTTCAATGGGTTAAATTGCTAACCTAAAGTCCTAAATTATTTATAAGTGTCTCTCGACTCATCTTATAAAAATATCTATTTTAACCAAAATACTATATCTCTATGTGAATTGAAATTAAAACAGATTCATTAAGTTCAGGCTCTAATCTGGCTACATATGGCCTATAGGTATATCCCTATCCTATATGCAAATCAAGTAATATGATCATATACTATCCCAATTTTAGTCTACACCAAACTCTCTTTCCCAAGTTTGTTTAGGTTCCTAAATCA